ACAATTGAAGTCAGAATTATAAGCCCCCCTGAATTATTAGCCCCCCTGTTTATTTTTTCCTCCAATTTCTGTTTAACGGAGAAAAGATTTTTTCAGCACATTTCTAAACATAATAGTTTGATAGTAATAAACATAATAGTAATACTTATCTCTTATGATAAATTTATTTTATCTTTGCCATGATGACAGTAAATAATATTTGACTAGATATTTTTCTAGACACTTCTATACAGCTTAAAGTGACATTTAAAGGCTTAACTGGGTTAATTAAGTTAACTAGGCAGGTTAGGGTATTTAGGCAAGTTATTGTATAATGATGGTTTGTTCTGTAGACTAACTATATATAGCTTAAAGAGGCTAATAAGTTTGTCTCTAAATGGTTTAAAAAATTAAAAACTGCTTTTATTCTAGTTGAAATAAAACAAATAAGACTTTCTCCAGAAGAAAAAATATCAGACATACTGTGAAAGTTGCTCTGTTAAACATCATTTGGGAAATATTTAAAAAAGGAGAAAAAAATCAAAGGGGGGCTAATAATTCTGATTTCAACTGTACATAATAAATAAATATAATACAGATAAAAAGTGATATTATACACTTAATGCTTTATACTTTTTATTTTGCACACATTAGAATAAGCACATTGTTTCTCATATTTTTTTGCTGTATGATTAAACTCTGAGGCAACACGGTGGCACAGTGGGTAGCGCCATCATCTCACAGCAAGAAGGTCACTTGTTCGAGCCCTGGCTGGGTTAGTTAGCATTTGGAGTTTCCATGGGTTTCCTCCGGGTGCTCCGGTTTCCCCCATAAGTCCAAAGACATGTGGTAGAGTTGAATTGGGTAAACTAAAATTGTCCGTAGTGTATGTATGGGAATAAGTGTGTATAAATGATTCCCAGTGATGGGTTGCAGCTGGAAGGGCATCCACGGCATAAAATATAGACTGAATAAGTTGGTGGTTCATTCTGCTGTGGCGACCCCAGATTAAAATAGGGACTAAGCTGAAAATAAAATGAATAAATGAATTAAATGATGAAACATTAAATTACAATAACATATTATTTGTAAATCTAAATAAAACTGGTTTTAAAATACATTTTTAAATGTCTGTTTATGCATGTGCAATATGATTTGTTTTACACATTTTAAAAAAATAAAAATAAAATCTAATAAATTTTTCTAAAATTAATTTGACACAGACACCAAAATAACATCTTTATACATTTGATCTACATATTTCTTTTTTTTTTTTTTGTAACATGTTTATTTAAAGTTATCAAAATGAACGTACAATGTGCTTTTACAGACATAATCAACATAAGGCAAGTTTAATAAAAAAATGTGCAATGGGTTATAGAAATTAATTTTAAATCTTTAAAAATAAGAAAATAATTAAATAAATCAATAGGTAGATAAAGGAAAGGGGGAAAAAAGAAGAAAAAAGGGGGAAACATCATACCGTCTATAAGTACTAACATTGGTGACTATCTATATATTTTTGAGCACATTTAAATTTCCACTGTCCTGATTTCTTTCTCACAGCTCTTGGTGCATCTGATGCAAAGGTCAAAGCAGTTCCGCTGTAATTAGGGCCATTAAACCATAAAGCAGTTTTAAAACAGAACGCGCCTTCGCAGGGAGGAGAATTTAGAAAAAATTAAGTAAACACCAATCGAAATGATCATTGTCTCGGAGCCCCATGATAAGCGATATCAAAGTGAAGCATGGGAAGCTTCCCCTGAACAAACACAGCGCAGGATTCGGCCTCTTCATGCCTGTCGTCATGATAAGCATGTGATACGTGTGTTGTGTATAAAGCAAGCTGAAGTGTTTGTGTTCACCTTTGAGTGTGTCTGCAGTGCAAACCATCACGTATAATGACAAAGGAAGAGGCTTGGTCGATAAGGAGTCGCAGTGGTGAAATGAAATTAGGCTACGTCATCAAGTGTGGGCGACATTACCATCTCAGATCTAAGCCTTTCTAAAAAAAAATACCTGCTGATATTTATAATTATACACCAATTATGTAAAAACTAATTTCTTATGTACATATTTGTCTTTCATTTTGTGCTGAACTAAATATTTTTCATTATAATTCATTAATCCTAACGAAGCTTTGAAGAATATACGTTCTAATTAATGATTAAAGGGGTTATCAGGACCAGACTAGACATCAGTCTGTACATCAAATAGTTTATTATATGAACACAAGCAACTGGACAAAGTGTCTTCATACATTAGACGCATCTAAATAAATAACTGTTAATTATGATTATTGGTTTAATATGAACTTTCATATACTGCTCTTTTGGTCCTCCGTCTTTTGACCTGAATACATGTTGATTTTTATTACATAATTGCGATAAGTATGAAATTATCTTGTGGATGTGCAACAAGGGTATGTTCTGGGTCTGTTTTATTTTTACTTTTTTTTTTTGCACAAAGGGCTATTGAAAACCTTATGCCAAACTTGTGCAGATGTACAATATTTTTGCATCAGACTGTATAAAAAATACAGTATACACATATAATAAACAATAAAAAATAGCTGTTTTAGGGTAAATTCTATTTGTAAAATGTTCAGAGCTGTTCAGTTGCCATTACTTCAGTGATTCTTCAGAAATACGCTGATTTCTTCATTCTAACATTACTTGCTATTTTTGACAAAATGCTTGATCAAATTAATGTTTTGCAGAATAATAGTAATACTTCATGTATAAAAAACCTACATCTAATCTCTGAACATTATTGGCCAATAATTGGGTTATATTGAACATTATTGGCTGATAACTGGGTTGTTTTATAATGTTATTTCCCACATAAGAAAAATGGGTTCATATATTAAAGCTTATTAATACACTGAAAAGAATTTTTTCAAAGATAATTACTTGAGTTTACTATTTTGATGTTAAGTGGTTGTTTACAATTTATTCATTCATTAATTTTCTTTTCAGCTGAGTCCCTTTATTAATCAAGGGTCGCCACAGTGGAATGAACTGCCAACTTATTTAGCATACTGTATGTTTTACACAGCGGATGTCCTTCCAGCTACAACCCATCACTGGAAAACACCTAAACACACTCATTCACACACATACACTATGGACAATTTAGCTTACCCAATTCACCTATACCGCATGTCTTTGGGGGAAACCGGAGCACCCGGAGGAAACCCATGCCAACACAAGGAGAACATCCAAAACCACACAGAAATGCCAACTGGTAATAATTTATTTGGGCTGAATTTAAACAAACTAATTAAGTTGAGCATTACTAAATTTAATTTCTTTGTTTAAATTTAATACACATGAATTAATTGCAACAATTTTGCAGACAATTTTTTTCAGTGTATTGTTTTTAAATCACATTCAAAATAGATAAAGATCGAGACATCAAGATTTTTTAATCAACCTTTATTAGAGATTTTTTTAGACAGGTATTCACACTGAAAAAAAAATATTCAAAGATGATTTCTTGGATTTACTCAATTTTTGTATGTTAAGTGGTTGTAAACAATTTATTTGGGCTGAATTTAAACAAGCAAATTAAGTTGAACATTATTAAATTTAATCTGTTTGTTTAAATTCAACACAAATAAATTGTTTGCAACAGTTCTGCATGCAACACTTTTTTCAGTATTTTAAGATGTTTTTCAGCTAAAGCAAATAATCTTAAGTTTATACGTTTAGTGGGCAATGCCCTCTTAAAAAAAAATAGGTTCTTTTTTGGCATCTGTTTTGACAAAGAACTACAATAGTTCTTCACTGTGGAAAAGCAATCTTTTAAAATGTTCTTCACACTAAGACCATGGTTCTTAAAGAACTCTTTACTAAAGGGCTCTTTGGGGGAAAATATGTTATGTAGTCACAATGGCTTTATGAAGAACATTTAATATAAAAAACAGCATATTTCACAACAGATTCTATTGTTGTTTTAAGAAAGAAGATATTCTTAATGGATCTAAAACATGGTTCATCAGAAGAATCACTTCAAAAAGCCCAATTTTGGAACCTTCGTTTTTAATAATAAAGCTACAGAACAGAACTTAACCATGATGGCAACAGATAGATAATTCTGCACCTTAAATACACTATATTGGATTGATGTTTATCACTGTAAGTATTGTACGCAAACATCATATTAGTTTTTTTACATAATGATCCCACAAAACATTTTTTCTTTAAAGAAATGTGTTTATCAAATATTCTTTCAGAAAAAAGCCCTTAAAGGATTGTTTATGTGTATTTTGTGTGTGTGTGTGTGTGTGTGAGAAACATTTAATTTTATCTAAACAAGCTACACCACAACTAAGCTTTTATGCAATGAAATTGTTAGAAACAAGAGAGGAAAAGAAAGGATTCTTCATCTATAATTGCTTCAATTTATTCAGTTTCAAAAAATTTTGCGGGGGATCAAGACCCATTAAATGTGCCCTAAGTATTAATAAGGTTACTTAAATGGAACCCAGAGAAAGTCTTCTGCAATACAACTTTCTTATGCATAATGACTGTTACATTATTATCTGTAAAACAACAACCATCAATGACTAAATGTTTTCCATTGATTGTGATCAGGAAAAACTGACATAATACCACAAAGTAAGGTGTAGCTTTGTTTTGATATTTGGCATACTCATTGAATTTAAGCTGGCTGCCAACACAAAGGCACTATTGTCCACCAGTTTTGTGGTTATTAATTAACCCTTAACTAGAGAATGAAGAACAGGCCACTAGGCAAACCTAACTAAAAGATCCATAAAAGTGCATGTCTCAACTGCAGATGAGGTCACGCAGGATTTATGAATTCTCTTTTACGACATCATAAAATTTATCCCCTTTATTCATTAACAGCATTGAAACAATGACAGCTTCTGATAGGTCGTCAGCCTGAGGTCTGTCCTTTATAAGAGCGACAGAAAGAGGCGAAGAGCAGAGATTGTTGTCGAGCAACTGACAAAGATACTACAGCTAAAGGCTTTTTGAGAAGAACCAGCCAACATGAAGACAGTTCTGTCCGTCGCTTTCCTCGTCGTGGCTCTTTGCCTGGTGTGTGATGCTGTGGAAGTTAAGGTGAGCTTAATATTATACTCGTTTCATTGCTGCTTTACTGTTATTAAAAACTTATTACTACTTTTACACATTTACAAATGATTTATGGACGCAATCTCTTTCCTTCAATTGCCAACTGACCTCGTTTTGAATTGTGTGTACTCATGCTTTTAATGAATACTTCTTTGAGTCATTATACAGAATCGTTCATAATGTCTAAATGTCATTATGTTTAACTATAGAGGTCAGTTCTAATGCACTTGGCATTGAAAATTGAACTCATCCATTTATTTCAACAGGAAGGTGATTTTTCCTTTACATTGGAGTCGGTGAGAATTCTCCAGCAGCTGGCTGAGCAACCGAAGACACAAAACCCTCGGCTGGCCAAGACGAGCTACTATTCTGTGTGTTCCAATCCAAGCCTGCCACAAGAGTTTGTTCCCTTGTGCATGCAGAGAGGAGCTACAATGTCCTTTGCTAGGCTAGGTAACTTCTAAACTCATAAATGAATGTATATTTCATTGCTTGATGAACGCAAATGCCAATCTAACTGGAGATATGTTTTCATCTGTTTCAGCATCTGTGCCTGTGGACGTCTGTGAAATATGTGCTTTCGCGGCTTGCACCGGCTGCTAATTCCTCCCGTCCTCCCCCTCGCCTTCATTAAAGGAAATCTGCATATTTTCAATCATTGCCATAAGTTCACAGAGTTGACCATATGAACATTTGAATATTGCCTCAAAGGCAATCTAAAAATGGCAGCAGACGGTTGATGAACTGTTACTTTAACACCCTTCCCCTCTTTTCCTTTCCCATGTTTTTTTGTTACAGCACATATTTCATTTATTTAAAAAAGTGTCTTTTTATTTTTCTATTTCTCTGGGTTGTGTACTCCTGTGTGTGTGTGGTGATGCCTCAGTGTTCAATAAAATGCATCAAATCTGATCTCTTTTGCATTGTGTGTGTTATTTATATTGTTGGAAGAGTATGATTGATGTTACAGAGAAGACTTTACAGTCAGTTTGAAGAAAATTCACACCTTTACAGTTTTTTTCAGTTGCTTTGGTACATTTCCCAAATTAGAATTTGCAAAACTGTTACGCATAAAAATAACAAAACATCATGGATTACCTGCAAAAGCCAGTATCTTGCTCAAAATATTAACTTCATCTCTCAAAACTACATTTCTGTGTCAATGAACAAGTTTGTGGCGTCAGAATGACAAGTCCTTGTGTCATTGTGTGGTGAGAAGACAGTCAAATTACTTAGTCATGTTGTCAACAGTGTACTCTGCAGGGGAGTTCTGAAGTAAACTATGTAAATTTGTTTTTGCTGTTTGCACTGTAATTTGTTGACAGATCATGTCATTGTGGAAAAGGCATCTGCATTAGAGATCTGCGCTGGACTAAATTTTGAATCCCGCTCCCGCCAGGTTTTAGCCCGAACCAGACCGCTCCCGCTGATATTCAGCATTTGTTGTCCTGCTGCCCGACCAGTCCCGTTTTCTACCCGCCGCGCCCGTTCCCGCTAACGAGTGGGGGGAGAACAAAACTGAAAACCACCCAGCTATATGGAGTCCAGACAGCCTATAACAAGCTATCTGTATAAACACACACGCAGACAGCACAAAGCTCTCTCATTCATGCACACACACCTCTCATTCACGCGCGCATGCACACACACACACAGCAACAAACAAGCTAAACGCACCAGCTGTCTCATTCACACACATACATATGCATGCTCGCTCGCTTGTTCGGGAGTTGGGGGCGATATTGTTAGACCGCCCGCTCCTGTTCAAAATTAAACCAGTTACTGACCGCTCCTTCCAAATTTATTTGGAAATAAATCTAACTTCTAATCTGACCTCTAATCTACATAGCACAAAGAAAAAACAAAACTTTTGTAGAAACGTGAACATAGAACAATCTTCTTGAAGATGCACCTTCATTAGAAAAAAATCAAGATTCACCTTGAAGAAATTCACCAATTTCGGACAGATTTATTCATTCGTTTAATTTTCTTCTGCTTAGTCCCTTTAGTCATCAGGGTTCGCCACAGCGGAATGAAATTTGTTTTATTCAGTGGATGCCCTTCACGCTGCAACCCATCACTGGGAAACATCTATACACTCTAATTCACACACATACACTACAGACAATTTAGCTTATTCAGTTCACCAATAGTGCATGTCTTTGGACTTGCAGGGGAAATTGAAGTACGTGGAGGAAACCCACACCAACACGGGAAGAACATGCAAACTCCACACAGAAATGTCAATTGACTCAGCCAAGGCGAACCAGTGACCTACTTGCTGTAAGGCCACAGTGCTAACCACTGCACCACCATGCCACCTACACAGATTAAAAAAAAAAATGATAATGGAAATGTACAAAAAAATGCTTTATGAGAAAATATTATGACTTATTTTGTTCAGCCATTTTGCATACATGCCATGAAGAATTGAGTTAATGTTGTGGGGGGTGAGACTATTCAACAGAGTTAGTAATACATTTTGATCAACATGACATAAGCAATTGATAACGTAAGAAACATCCAACACGGGCTCATTCTGATTATGTACCCCTATATACATTTCTGGAGAGATCAAAATACGTCCCAGGAGCTACTTTTTTTTTTTTTTTTTTTGCAGTTTTTAAGCAGCTCTGGCTACTCAATTTGCTGTCTTCATAAATGTATATAGGGCTACGTTTTCAGATTGAGCCTATGTTGGAAACATCACACAATTGTACATAATTATTTGCATGGATGTACAAATGCATTTCCAACTTGCTGAAAGGAATGAGAAACTGCTTTTTTGATGTGCACAAGTGACACAATGATGTGAAGATTGAACAGGTAATTTTGAGAATTTAAGTTCTGATCTGAGAAATGTACCAAAACGACTGAGGAAAAGCTGTAAAAAGAATTATAAGCATATTTTTACAGGGATTTCATAATTGATTCAAAATGTTTTTGAGTGATTCCATACAAGAACCTTTCAATAATCAGGTTTTAAAATAACCCTATCTTTCTTAGTCTGAAGAACAACTGTTTTCACTATTAAGAGCTTTTTTTGTGATAAAGGTTCTTGATGAAACTATCAATGCAAGAACCTTAAGAGTGTTAAAAACCTTTTTAAGAGTGTTGTGTTTTAGAGCAGTTTAATAAAGAATGTTTTTTCTTTGTGAAATGAAAGGTTTCCAAGGATACCATTTATGCTTATAAAGAACATTTCTGTTTAAAAGTGCATTTTAAGAAGGAAGAGTTTTCAAATGCTTTATTGAAGAGTAGAAGACACTCAGAATGTCTGAGTGCAAATCTTCCTCAATCGTTTCTCGCCACTCTGTGTTCTGATTGACGTGGGAAGGAGACAAGCGCATGTTTATGTTCTGTCGATTTGAAAGAAACATACTCTGTGAGTTCTTGATGAGGTTTGGTGGGCTGTTTTTCATAAAAGATTCATTGAACGTCGAGTGACAGGAGCATTAAAAGTGGATCTACTGCTAGATGTCTGCAGGAAACTACTTCGCTTATTTAAATATCCCAGTTTTTCATTACTAACTGACATGACATCAATCAAGTCAGAGTGTTTCGGTGAGTCTGAAAAGGATGTGTATGGTGTAGGAATAACACAAAATCATCATTATTTGCAGTAAAACCGAAAACCTATACGCAGCACATTTTTTTATAGATAAAAACATCCACCTTGATTTGATAACCTGAGCTCTGAGTAAAAATTGATTTGGCGAAATGTTCTTTATGCATGCGGTTCTGTGTTCGCTCGCAGGATTAGGAAGAAAGAAGCGGGCTGCTGATGCACTGCAATTTACCTCTTTTGAAAGCTCTAGTGAAATGGTGAGCAACAGAACCGAGAGCCCATTTCTTTGGCTTTGATGGTTTTGGTCATTAGGGAAGACGTCTCTGCAAGATGGACAGGCCTAAATAAAGAGTTATTTTTGAATTTCAGGTGACAGTATTGAAATCTTCAAAGGAATAAGAAATATGGCTGGTTTACTCCTATTTTATGATGGGCTACCAGTGGTATTGGCTTTTAATATTAGTTTTGGTGCCCATAGGAGAGATAAGATATAATAAAAAGAAAAAAAAAATGCAATTTAGGCCCAGGTTATATGCAGATGTAAAATGTGTTGTTCAAAACTTAATATAAACATGTCTAAAAACATGGAATCTTTTGTTAATTTAAATACTATTTGCAATAAATTAGGAAGAAATTTCATTAGTAGTTTATAGAGTAAAATTAGATAAATAGATAGATGGATGGATGGATGGATGGATGGATGGATGGATGGATGGATGGATGGATGGATGGATGAGTGGGTGGGTGGGTATGTGGGTGGGTGGGTGGGCGGGCGGGCGGACGGATGGACAAACGGACGTACGGAAGGACGGACGGACAGACACACAGACAGACAGACAGACAGACAGACAGACAGACAGACAGACAGACAGACAGACAGACAGACAGACAGACAGATAGATAGATAGATAGATAGATAGATAGATAGATAGATAGATAGATAGATAGATAGATAGAAACACTGTTTATGGAATGTGTTTCTAGCGCTGAATGAATGAATGAATGAATGAATGAATGAATGAATGAATGAATGAATGAATGAATGAATGAATGAATGAAATGTATCTTATCCAAGATTATGTAATTTAGTTTTGTCCAAAGCGACTTACAATTGATGAGGTATTCTGCGATTCCACAAGAAGAGACCATACATAAAAGAAGTGCTAGTTATCCACAGTAGCTTGTTTGTGCTCAGAAAATTGTGTGGTAGTGGAGTAGGAGTAGATTTTTTTTTATAATGGATGAACACCCAGACTAACATGAGCATGGATGCCCTTAAAATTATACAGTCTTTTTGGAAGGTGTTTCTGGCTCCAGTCGGATGGGTGGATGAATGAATGAATGAATGAATGAATGAATGAATGAATGAATGAATGAATGAATGAATGAATGAATGAATGAATGAATAAATAAATACTATGCAAGATTATGTAAACATTGTTACGATGATAAACAGACAGAGTAACATAAGCATAGATGCTGTTTAAAGGTGTACAAGGTGTTCCTAGCTCCAGTTGTCTGGATTAGAGCAGCATAACAATCCTTTTTAGGATTTGCTGGGTTCTGCATTTGTGTTTTATGTGCTATTGAAAAGAGATGCTTCTTTAATCTGTATTTAGGGCCTACTCACACTATGCCATCCGTACCGTGCCCAGGCCCGTTTCCCGGATGGTTTGAGAAGTGTGAGTGCGCTGAATCGCGCTCAAGCACGGTTCACTTGGCCGGCCCTGGCCCGGTTGGAAGAGGTGTGCCTGAGCGCGGTACACTTGGGCTTTGGCGCGGTACGCTTGTGTGTGAGTGCAAAACGCGCCAAAGCCCGAAACTGAAAGCGAGACGTGACTTTTAAGGGACTGTTTGATATGGATTTATTAATCATTCTTACTGTTCAGTGAACGCAAACTGCCGTAGTTTATTAAAGACGCAAACCCCTCACAGCACGCCAGCTGCACGCCTTCAGCAGACCTCCTCATTCCTGCAGCACAAGAGCTTTATGATTGTTTATGAGCGCCAAAAGTGGCGGATCTGTTCGGAGAAA